TGAAAATGGCTACCAAATGCTATTATTGTGTGAAAATTCTCAATTTTATTTTTTACATTTTTAACTTTATAATGCTATAACTTATTGAAAAGTGTATTGATCAATATAATTTTTTTATGGGAAATTCTATTTTTTAATAATCCCTTTTTCATTCGACATACTTTATCTTAATCAGGATATTAATAAGGAACTAGCAGTTTATGAAGCTTTTGGAATAATCCACCAATTTTTTAAAATTAAACACTATCTAAAGATTTGCATCGAAGCGTTTTTTTTTGATAGTGATTTTAATCACTGTCAGATATCATTATACTTGATCCATCTATAACACGTCACCACTGTGCCGCGACCCCCCTGTGCTGGGTTTTTTTTTTAATTTGTTAAAACAATGTGCCAGATTGGCAACTTTAAAATTGGTATAACTGATGCTGAAACTGAAAGTATAAAAATCAAAGTTACTCTGTTACTTAGAGTACCTTTCGCTTATAGGATTTGGGTTTTTATTTTTGTTGTTTATTTTCGTTACTCGTATTTAGAGCAAGAAGAAGTGTACCTGACAAGTCATTAAAATATTTCTTAGAAGCTGTTTAGTGTGGTTATTAACAGAAAGCTGTCTCTCGGCCTGTTTTTTCGAACTCTCGTTAGGGAAACTTAATGACTTTGTAAACTGTCTTGAACTTCAGCAATTATTTTATTTACTAGAATCTTTGATGATTGTTTATTTTTTGGATTCTTCTCTTACCATCAAGAATTATTCACATCTTGAAACTGACAAACGTTATCTCTAACACCAATACTTTGTACAGTTGTATTAAAAGCATAAGTAAGTAAAAGATTGCAATAATTCTTTGTAAATTTGTTTAAACTGGCAGTATGTTTGTATGAATCGTCATAACGAAACTAAGGGGAATATCATGATGAAGCATTTTTCTCTAAAACTAAAAACCTTTAGTCAGGTCAATTCACGTGTCATCATCAAGTGGAGTTTAATCGGGTTATTTTCGATAACTGATTGTAAATCGTTCTTCATTAAAGTCGGTTATGTCAATGCAACTTCCACCAAAGAGTCTTGCATTTAATATAAGAAGGGTGAATAAATGTATTCGCACACAATATCTGAAACCTCATACGGAGGGAAAGGAATAATGCATAAATGCACGTGATAACGATATACGTAGAACGATTACACAACCGATAGGCTGTTCACGTTTGATGGCAAAAGTATTGATGGGACGTGAGGTTTTGTGTCAGCGGTACACGGAAACTGCATTTGCGAGATCGAAATTCGTACATGATTGAATTTTTGTACAAAAGCCTATGGACTGACATTCGAACGAATGAAGTGCTCTATAATTTTTGTTTTACCCTTTAGTCGCTTCAGCACATCTGGATAAAAAATATCAGCTGTGATAATTTTGTGCCGAGAGAAACTCAGTTTATAGAAAGTTTATAGGGAAACTCAGTTTACAGTTTATTTCATTGACAGTACACTAGATAGTATATATTTTTGAATATTGTAGTTTGATTTTACTCGTGCTTGTAGAACAGAAGTATGTAATATTTGTAATGGTTGTATTATATATTTATGAATACGTGTTAAATACTATTCCGAAATGTCGAGTATAGTAATGTTATAGTTTAATTTTGATTTATTTTCTCGTACTATTTGGCCAATGTCGGTTGTGTTATCTTTAGTTTTGAATTATTCCCACAAGGTAAACGTTAAAATATTTATGCAAGTTGGGTGAATTAGATCCTAAGGTTAGGTATCTAAATCCTCAAATAGCAATAATTTAAACGTACTATTTATTTGACGTTATTTAATCACGACTGTTAATGTTTGACTTCAATGAATAAGTAACACGGGTAGCCATTTTCAAAAACTTGAATAATGACTTAGCTATAATCCGGTTAAAAGATTCTCCATTAGCGACGATTCCGACGTAATATTTTATTTAATGTTGCATAATTTAATTAAATTATTAGCCTGTATAAAATGTGACTATTTTTACTAATTTTTCAAGATTAAAAAACAAACGTTGTAAACCTTTTTTTATATATTTTTCTACTTAATAGAGGTTATATTAGAACTCGAAATACATTTTTATCTTCAATGAATTATTGATCGTTACAATTCATGACTCATGATGAATATTAACGACAAAGGTCTCGTAGAACGGCATAAGACTTTATGCGTTAAACTTATGAAATGTTGACAATGAGTGTGACTATTGACAAGTGAGACGTTATTGTTGTTACTGTTGTTTGGAAGCACTCGACCAGCAAAATTTGTGCGCTCATTGTATATTTTGTCGTCGGCCACTCATTACGAGGCGTTCATGCATATGCAATTTCGGTACTGAAGTGTGCGCGGGTAGATAAGGATGCGGTTGCCATATTCGTGCAGCAGGCGTTCTCAACACTCGTATCTGATAAAGTAAACTCTATTGTAAATACACATCAGAAAATACCAAAAATGTATCATTTCGATCACTCCGAGAACTGATAATAACGAAATGCGTCTTACTGTTGAGTTTAAGCACTCAACTGTGAGGTGTGGTCACACAAAACGTGTTGTCCAACACATTCATTTGTTCGTTATTTTGACGATTTAATCAAAGAATTTCTCTATAACATGCAATCTTTATTCCAAACTAATTTCATATTAGAATGCCTATTATTACTATAATTTTTAAGAACATAAAGATAAATATTAAAAATTACTATGTATTATATATCTAGAGTCAATAAACAAAAAAAAAAAATTATCGACATATTTCAATAACTCTCAACTTGTGCATTGAAAATTTAACATTTTTCTTTTAAATTATCACATTGGTATTGGTTATATACCACAGAAATGATCGTAGTTCAANATTGGTATTGGTTATATACCACAGAAATGATCGTAGTTCAATGATACGGAAAATAATAAAATGTTGACATAAAGTTTTAGTGGAATAAAATTTTAGACTAATACGATTAAATACTTTTGATTGTCTTATGAAAACATTTAAGGTTTAGTTTAAGTAAAAGTGATATGGAATATAAATTTTGGATTATAAGTATATCAGAAACTCGAGATTCATTTTTCGCTTAATCAAATAATATTGTTATTATACTTGATAATTATAAAAAATAACTGGACATTAATATTAATGTTGTGTAAAGTATTAAGCGTCGTAAAATCTTAGAATAATATTTAATAATTTAATTATTTATGAATAATATTTAAAGAAAAAATAAAAACATATAACTTTTATCTGTATGCATACGTATTGATAGAGCTAGCTCGTTATTTTTACTATAATATACTAATTAGTTTCCTTTATTTTTAGTGACTCTGAAATGCCATCAGCGTGCACCTCTGATAACAGCAATGATGTTGAACAACCTGAACCAGATTACATTAAAATGTTCGTCGGACAAATACCCAGAGCGATGAACGAACAAGATTTAATGGAATTATTCGGTGAATTCGGACGTGTGTATCAGTTAAACTTGTTGAGGGACAAATTCACCGGAGTCAGTAAAGGTTGGTCACAATGTAATTCTCTCGTAGATTTTACGTTATTTAAATTATTTAGCATAAACGTAAAATAAGTTTGGTATGATTGGATCTGAAAATAATTATGGGAAAACATTTTTCGTGTAGGAGAATACTTAATTTTACTAAACATTTTTGCGCATAAATGCATAAACAAGCAAACTATACGGCTTACCTTCAACAAATCTAATCTCTTCTAGTTAAAGTTTGTTTTAATCTTGAAATACTGAAAAATAAAATACTCTTAAAACTAAAGTTCTTAATTGCAGTTAAAGCTACGAGTTTCTAAACTAATTAGTCAGGAGATGTTATGTGTATAGTAGACGACGTTAAGCTCTTTTCAATGGTTCAGAAACTATTAATCAAAATTATACTATGAAATATTCTACTAATTAATGGTGTTTCATTAAAAAAAATATTTAGTACTATAATTGTTTTTATTACATTGTAATAAACTTGGTTAGCTTTCATTTTTGCGTGGACAACAGTTTTCATTTTACGTATACCATTAATTTTGGGATGTATTTCCAGTATAACAATAAATAACACATTGACGTTGGTCACAATTGAAATACAATGATTTCATTCACTACTAATATTTTAAAACTTCTATATTGTTGTCAGCATTACAAGTTTTATAAATTTGAATTTGATTATCGAGATGTAGATAATAAATTTGCATTGGCATTTGTTTCTTGCGTAATTTGATTTTTAAGTTCATTATAAAAGCGAAGTAAACCTAATTGGTCATTAAAAAATGACTGAAGATTTATTAAGAACTTAATTTTAATCAATTATTTTTACTATGAAAGAAAAAATACTCACAAAATTATTAATTAGTGTGGATCACGGTAATATTAAAATGGTCATCTAGTTATTTTTTTGAAAATATAGTAGCACCAAAATGTTTAATATAGTAGTTTAAAAAAGTAGTGTTATACATGCTTTTTATAGTAAAATATTATGTCCCTAGACGATGAATCAGTGTATTTTAATGTATAAATATATTCATTTTCGTAACAATCTGTAATTTAGTAAACAATAAAATAAATCTTTTAGTTTATAAAATAATTATTTTTTTATTCCCTTGAATTGTTTTATTTATTCACAAATAATTTAAGTTCTTTTTTTTTAATAATAATTATAATAATATTATACTTTAATTAATATAATAACAATAATATTAGTTCTAATTCTCAAAGTTTTTAATTTGTATTTTTAAATGAATATTCTTCTTTTAGTATTTTGAAATTAAGTACATATTCAATACTTAATTGTTGAGATATTATTTTTAATTATATTGGAATTCTGATGTAAAAGAATATACATTAAAAAATATTTTATCGTTGCAATCAAAAAATCAAAGATGTATAGAAAATTAGAAAGTCAGATAAAAACTGTGACCTACGAAGATTGATTTCTTTTCTTACACATTTTCTGCGATACTAAGTTATATATTTTATGTTCGGTGATCTTATTCAAATAGTTTACATGTATTCATACAATTCGTCATTGATTTTATTGTGTTTCTTAAACCTGATTCCGATAAATAAGAACAGAAACAGGGATACATGTACAGAGTAATTCTGTCAATTTCTATGTGTTTAGACCTACCGCTGTTGTTTTCAGGGTTCCTGCTGTTTATGTCTTAAGGCTCCAACGCGCAGTGTTTAGCGAGACAAAATAAGCCTCACTAGTCTACAATAACAATATGACCTATTTAGAATTTCATTTTCTCAAGTCTTTAACAGAAATCTATTGAATACTCATTTTATACTAAATGCAATAATATTTCACTAATGTCTATTACATTAAAAAATATTTCTCGATGAGAAAATAGAATAAATTAGTATTGATTTCAATTATAAGCATTATTGGCTAGTTATTTTTTGAATATTCTCATTTCACTTACTTCTATTTGAATAGTCGCTATGCAAAAAACTATAAGGGGCCAGCTTGTTAAAAATAAATAATTAAGTGATTATTCTTTCAGGTTATATTTATATTATTTTTAGTAAAACCTCTAAAATTAATATTTTTTGTTTGTTTTAGATGATATATAAATTTCTGTCCCCTCAAAAAAAAAAAAAAAAGCGAATACTTATAAAACGCAAACAGGCGTGCCCTGCTTATTTTTAATTGAAAGGTTACTCGTGATTAGGAATTATTATATAGAAATATACATGATTTTATATATTTAATGATATTATAAGGTGTGTGTGGAAAAATACCTGAACTTACGCTATCGTGCTAATTTTATACATTATATCACTGCAAATTATAAATAGATATATCCTTTACATAAAAATAACTATTTAAAAAAAAATTGAAATTGCTTACTTATTTTACTTAAAGTTTAAACCGTTTTAAACCTACTTATTTTCTATTGTTTTTTGATTCAGACATATTCGAAATTAGCTCAATTATATGAATTCATATTTCATTTTGAGTTAAAATGCTATGAAAACATAAAAAAGTGAAATGAAAAGATTTTGGTTAAATAGCGATTAGTAGAATAAATTTGCAGATATTAACTAATCATCCACCAATTGTATTGTTATCCTGATGTTGACAAATGCAAAAAGACTACAGCAACATTTGCCCTTTGTAAATTTTCAATTAAATTTAACGCTTAAATATTTGAAAAGTTTAATTCACTCAAAAATTGTTATACAACTTAGAAATTCATCACCAAAAACTATTTTATACAATTTCATACGTATCCGTAAATTTTCACCTAATTTTAAAACAAAACATGATGAAACCAGTTATTTTGGATATGACGAAATCGTCAAACGAAACCGACTCACTAAGTTTAAAATGGTGTAAAATTAAAGTAAGAAAAGTTAGCAGCTTCAATTTTAATTTAATACTCAGTTCAAGGTGGCGAATCTTATTATTAAAAATTTGTTGTGATATCATATCTTGACTATGTGTAATGTCATTTGTCCTGGTACTTTACGTTTACACCTCGTAATTGGGTGTTTTAAACAATTTTTGAAAGTATGTGTAAAGTATAACATAGTGTAAATTTTCGCAAACGGTGCGTTAAATCTGTCTCAATTCAATGAACAGTGAGTAATTTGTTTATACTTTAAATTGATGTAAAGAGTAGTAAGCTCATATGTACTAAAACCACAAAAGATAAATAGAAATAGAAAGTGCTTTGTTTAGTTTAAAACAGCAAAACTAATGAGCATTAATGAATGAAAAGGTCTAAAAATAAATAAAGGATTTAGTACCACAACAGTCAATTGAAATGTTGGTTTTTTTCTGGTATATATTATACATCATATACTAACTAAAGTAGTTGATGAGGAAATATATTAAAAAGAATTTTTCGTACCAAAGCTAGTGGACACTAATTAGATTTTGAAAGATTAATAGTGGTAAAAGTTTCATTAAGTTTGTGAAAAACAAAAAAATATTTACGCAATTATATTTTTGCGAACTACGTATTATTTATGACAACTAAAATACATTAATTATAAAACTCTATCAAGTGGTTCTTGTACTAAAAAAAAAAAATTGAGGCATTCGAATTGCACTAATGTGATATAATGTTATGATAATTATAAAAAAAATCATAAAAGAATATTAAAATTTTTAAGAAATTCGTTTAATGCTATAACTTAACAAATAGTTAATAATTATCTAAGAAAATCAATAGCCTTCATCAAAATATATTTTCGGAAATTTCATTACACAAATAAATAGAATGTTACGTTGAGAATAATTGCATTATATTTATTTCCATATAGTTACTATTGGGTTATATGTATTACATTTGCAGCGAAGTTGGAATACATGAAATTTTTTAAATATTTAAAAAGTTTTTAGGAATGAAAGATATTCATAGTAATTAATAGTAACAATAATAATAATATTATTATTACAACTAGTAATGCACAACGTTATGCTATAGCGTATATTGGTCATTGTTGTTGAAGTAAGTAACAAAAATGATGAAATTCAGGTCACCTTGTGAAGATATCTCGGGTACAATTAATTATTTATTGTTTTATTGATGAGCTTCTAGAAAGGGTAGAGTAGAGTATACGAAAGGAAATTCTTTGGAAGGGAAGGTAAGTGGGAATTTTTGAAAGAAAAAGTTTGGGGTATGCACGCGATATTACAGAACGAATTCTAACAATGTCTAACCGCCATCGTCACCGTTAACTGGCTATGTAATAGTAGCCTGGAGGGTCTAAAGTACGACTACCACGGAAAAATGAACAACTGTGGTAAAACTTGCCCTGAGCATCGAGCTCGGCGAATGCATATTATAATATATTGTTGTAACAACAACGGCCTGTATAATAACGGCAAATATAAACGAGAAAACGGCTAATGAAAGGCCACTGTTTGTTTTTATTGAATATATTTGAAACAAGCAAAATGAATATTCAAATTCGATTCCATTTGACGTGAACGACGGGTGTACTTAAGCACGTTTCGCTCACCCCCTTTTGCGGCATTAATTGAGCAATCGAATCTATGTGATGTGTGTGCGGTAACTGATTGTGAGTCGAAAGCAACACGACGGGTCAAATACCACAATACTATTTCAGCTGTCACTATATTTGCGAAATAATGCCCTCGGTTTGAAAAATATGGCGGATAATTAGTATTCACAGCAATATTGTATTATTCATTTCTACGCTATCGAGGAGAAAACGCTACTGTGACTTAATTATTTCGAAAAATATTCATAATATCAATTATGCCGAAAAATCTATAATTAAAATTCAAGTTTTTCCCCAACAAAATTAAAGACGATTATATTTTCTGTTATACGGTCGTTATGCTGAAAAATTAAGTTTAACTTTACAATTCTTATTGCAATGAAGGTAAATATTTTATTGATCAAGAAAAGTTTATTTGATATTTATATAAGATATTAAATGTGTACGTGCATAGTAATGTATAACATTGTTTTCAACAAAAACTGTTCATTCCACAACTATTTTTCGAAAACTGTTGATTCAAATAGACCTAACTCGACAATAAACTATCTTAGCATGAATGTCGTTGGGAAATAAACTGATGCGTCACAGTGAAAATGATTACATGTTGAGTACACAAACTTAA